GCTTAGCTCGTACTATCGCCCTTACTACGATAGTTGTGCAATTAAGACTGAATTAAACCTCAAGTGACCTATTTTAATTATGCGCACTTCTCACTCCCTATCCGAGTTTCAAACACTCGTGAATAAAATAAAGGTATCTAATAGAATAATAACAACAATTATTCTGTTAAAGAAGGATAATAATAAATAATACTATTATAAAATTAAACAGGGCTATCTTCGATTTGTTTGTTGACTAGTCGGTATCCGTCACTTGTCTCACTAAACTAATTAAACAATATTCGTCTGGATAATTAATTATGAACTCTCGTTCCGTCATTCACGTAATTGATTCGCGGACAGCTTATTAGCTTGATCAAATCAATGCTGTGGAGAAACCAAAAAAGCCGAACATGAATGTTTATTTCTCCTTTGTTGAAAAGCAGGATTAAGAATTACGGAAGCCATTAGTTTTGAAAATACTTCCGTTACAGCTTAAGTGAGCCGTCTATTAGAGTGTCCGGTCTAATAATCAATTATAGAATATTAAATTATGTATATTTATAATAAAGGATTTCGGGAGAATATTATTAAGATCAGTAATATTTTATTTATTTATAACAATTTCAACTTTCGATGTTTTCACAACATTTGAACATGTAACATCCGTCATGATCGATGTTCACACAACATAAAGATTTGACGATGGAGGAAGAGCTACTTATATATCCTTTGCGTCGCAAGAAAAACGACATGCTTCTATATAAATTATTAGACTATGAAGAACAATTAATTTTAGCGTTTTTGCTGTCATATATTTTGCGACACGCTGCGACTTACTTATCTGATTCATCAGATCAGCTCGCCGTAACAATACTAATACATCATTTTTATTTTTAATGTAATAAAAAAAATAATATACAACATACAACAAATACAACAAAAAACAAAAAACAAAAGTATATACAATAAAAGATAATTTTTCTTTGCTGCTCTCTTGGTAACTTTAATTCCTTTTTCTTCTCTTCTCCCCTTTTTGTACTAGTTTCATCTTCTCTTCCATTCTTTTATTGTTACCATTACTGCATTGCATAGAATGACTTCTATACCCTCTTTTCTGCAAGAGCATGCAGTTCCCAAATGGATAAATGAGACGCAAATGCAACCTCATCATCAAATAAGGGAGAATAACCTACTTGAGTGGAAGTAACCTAGTCAAGGTGGATATGATATATCCACTAAGGCACAAGAAATCTATGGATCACGAACAATGTGTGTAATACCCTGATCAGGGTATGTGACTTTGTATCACTGCAGGAGAATATCACATTATGATTGTTAGTGGCATATCAACTGAAAATGCAAAAATATTAGACATGTTGGCACAACATTTTATACCTTTGATAAGCAAAAATAATCTGTAAATTACAGGTTTAGTTAATATTAAGACTAAATTTCTATGTTTCAAACAAAATCGTTTGTTTCTTACTTACAAGTATATGTTGTGTTTTGTATTTGATAATTTACTTCAAACTCCAATGTGACCAGTAACCCTCACCCAGGTCTTATTTCACCTTCCACTTCCTTTGATACTAATTTCAACAGGTTGAGGGCAACAAAGTCTCTTAAATCATCCACTACCTTATTTTCCTCTTCATCTACCACTGATAATTTAACAGGATGTGGAGACCTTGTCTCCTGCTGTAATAGTAATATATAGTGTACCAACCCATATATATAATTGATATAAAAGGTGAACACAACCTCCATTTGGTAATGGACTGTATAACACATAGGTACTTCTAGTAACATTAGATGTTGCTTCCAACATGGTATCAATTGACATCCCTAATTAATAAACAGTTCTGATTAACTAATGTGAAATAACATACTAAAACATCAACTCTCTCATAAAAATTATCTCAGAAAGTGAAGCAGCCTGGAAAGTTGCACTTAATATAATATCAAGTTGACTGGAGGGCAGGTCTGTATTATTTCATTGACAATCATTTCACTGACAGTACATTTCACTGACAATTAACTACCAAAAAAGGATAACTTCAAAGTAATGTTGGTGAAGATTTGTCAGTAAAATGATTGTCAGTGAAATGATTGTTGACAAAATGATTGCCTCCTCTGGGGGACCCCCTTCACATGCAGCCCACTTGAGAAATTAATTTCTCCTGTTACCAAGTACAGCCAGACATTCACTCTTCATTTCCTAAAATAATTTCCATAACATCCCCTGCTAAAGCATCTAAAATTAAGCTGCCTATTATTATGACACACCCCACTCTACAAGAACATACCCTGCTGGGATGCTAGTCCCCAGACTGCTTTGCCTCCTTGATAATTAAAATCACTTAGACTTCTTAACACTAATAACATACCTTATTGGCAACTCTAACTTGGTGAGACATCCTTGAGCAAGGTGCTAGCTGTAGCTGGTCTTGTCATCTCCATTCTTCCAATCTCTCTTTACATTTCTGTACTTCTTGTTCTTTGTGGCTGTTTTACTGCTGTTGATGTAACAATGTATGGTTTGTCAGTTTTTCGATGAGAGTTGTGTTTATTATATTAATGTTCGACAAAATAAGGTTTGTCACCATATTTTTCTACAAACATCGGGCCGTTTGCCTCAGTCTTCAGTTAGAAAAATTCCTGATAGTTGGCCAGTTATAATAAGGCCTGTGCTAAGGTACACAAAACGTCTAAGAGATAAAACAACCACAGCTTGCAATGGCGTAAAAAAAAGGGGTAGTCACATGACGATTATTGCACCAGCCTTAATTTTGTTGGTTAAAATTTTCGCGGCGCAAAACGATAATACATAGCGGCTCATGCTTCATTCTTCGATAACCGGATTAACAGTCTCCAATTTCCAATACCCATATATTGCATATATATACAGTAAGTTTTTGATACTGTATTCAATTTCGAATTTACTTTGAGTGCAAGTGAAATATTCTAAAAATAAAACATCTGTGTTTGAATATCAAACATGTCATAAAATTCGATTACTTCAGACAAGCATTCATGCCAACTTATCTCATAGTTAAACGTAAAGATTGTGCCTTAATGAGTACATACAGCAGCTTTTTGGATTGCAGGCCAAAGCATAATTTAATGAATAGCGATATTTTATTAAGCATCCCATAGATTAACGTAATCGATATTACGTGCCGCGATAGCGTTCACCTTCGTAAGTCGTTTTCTACTGAATAAAATCGTGTTCAGTCCCTAATCATTGTCAAATTTAGCCAGTTTTGAAGCGCAAGGTAAATTTAATTATAACATGTTAATTTATTTGATTATTATTATATTAATACAATAATGCAATATTATAATACATCACGTTTATATCTTGTAAATTAATAAAAAGTTTGTGTATAGTCTTTGTAATTATTATTATTTTACTATTGTACTAATTAAATAAGGTAATGGCAGATAAGACTATTGCTTCCAATCGGCATGCCAAGCAGCAAACTCACCTTTTATCTCTAACTAGCTTCAGGGACAGATCCTTCACTTCACAAGCAGCTAAGTAGCCACCGAATCAGTCCCTAAATCTCTGCCAAGTGTCCCATTGGATCAGATCACCCAGCAAACCGTCAAGTAGTTTATATAACGTAAAGCAATGGGTACTTACCTTATACTTACCCAAAACCTTCTCCTCGTCATCTAAAAAAGAAAGAGAGGAGATCTGAGAGTGTTCCGGGCATCCCCGTGACCCACTCATCAGACCCGGCCGGGATCACTTCACCGCCGGCGAGCACTTGAGGGAGAGTGGTGAGTAGAGGGGCATCATCACCACCCAATCCAGATCCGCGCCCGTCCACCAGCAGAGACAAAGGAGAGTAGCCACTTAGTGAACCGATTAAAGAGCAATAGTCATTTAATACGATTTTATCTTTTTTACTTTCGAACTTTTTCAGCTTATATGTATTTACGCTTTGGAGGATGAGATGTTGTGAAGTGATGGATGCGCGATAGAGAGAAGCGTCTGGTTTATATTTGAGTAGACATTTATTTGAGCTCTTTCGTCAGTTAGTGGTCGATAAACCGTGTCGTAAGACTTGTTCATGAGTTGTAGCGAAATGGAGTGACGGCAAAATTGTTTTTGTATTTACGCTCCGGAGGCGGAGATGGTGTATATGTATGAGTAGGCGTGCGTTTGAACTTTTTCATCAGTTAGTGGTCGATAAATCGGTTCATTGTTAGAGGACTTGTTCGTGAGTTGTAGCGAACTGTCGTACGTGCGTAATACGGAGTGGAGGAGAGGTTGTGAAGCGATACATGTACAATTGTCTGAGCATATATGAGTAGACGTGTGTTCGAACTTTTTCATTGCTTATGTGGTCGATCATCGTGTCGTTGTTAAAAGACTTTGTTCGTAAGTTGTAGAGAACTGTCGTAATATGGAGTGGCATAAAGGATTGTTTGTTGTATTTACGCTTTAGAGAAGAAGATGTTATGAAGCAATGCATGCGAAATAGATAGTGTCGTTGTTAGAGGACTTGTTCGTGAGTTCTAGCGAACTGTCGTACGTGCGTAATATGGAGTGGCGACAAAGAATTGTTTGTGTATTTGGGCTTTAGAGGAGAGGTTGTCGTGAAGCGATACATGTACAATTATCTGAGTATATGTGTGTTCAAACTTTTTCATCGCTTCTGTGGTCGATAAACCGTGTCGCTGTTGAGTGTTAAGAGTTCGTTGTTTGATGACTTAATTGTGTCGTATGTAAGTAATATAGAGAGAGTGGCGACAAAGGTTGTTCGTTGTTTGATAATTATTCGTTGTATATTTAAGATAATGTTGTAGTTGCGCTTTGAAGGAAGAGAGGTTATTGTGAAGCCATGCATGCGCAATGGAGGGAAGTGTCTGGGTATATATGTATACGAGTAGACACGCGTTCGCGTGTTAGATGACATAATATCGCGTCTGTCATGATTGTTTCCGTAAATAAGAACAATAGAATCAGTGTAACATTCCGGGGTACACGCAGTAAAAAATTTTTTAACAAGTCATAAATTTTATTAATTGTCGTAGAAACATTTGGAAAGATTTAGCCTATAAGTATAAATGTAGAGTCTGCGGAACTGTCAACCAATAGTTAATGTAACACAGCATGACACAATATCGCGACTGTCATGGCTGTTTCCGTAAATAAAAAATTTTCACTGGTTAACAAGTCATAAAATTTATAATTGTCACAGGCGGTCGACTGGTGGGGTAATTTACTACCGATAAGCCACGCGTATAAACTAATGATGAGCAATATGATATCAGCATTACCTATGTGGTACGGCGAGTGACAGATCTCGTGTAATACGTGTAAATAAACAACCACATGATGTAGAAACATTGCAGGGAGGTGCTTATTTTGTTGTATGTCAGATCGGAATTATAGCATATTGTATGAATCAAGTTGGCATTCTGCTTATCACTATGTGGAGCTATAGATAAGTTGCACACTAATACTAACGTACAAGAAACACGGATGTATAAATCTATACACTTATAAGCCATAAGTCAAATAATATCATACAGTTAATATCAATGTTTATAGTAACAATATCAGTTAGCTTTAATATTATTACTTCAATAAATATCAATTATCATGTTGTTATTAATTCTCTGTATTATTCTTAGTATACTGTATTATTACCGATCTGACATGCAACATTAGTACTAAGATTTTAAATCGGGTCAAAACTCTTTCTTACATCAAAAATTTCTTGTATTGAAGGGTTCTTATCTCCTTATCAGATTTGGCAATCGAAGTTGCTAAAATTAGAAATCATGTTATTTATTCTATGACATATAATTTATCAAACAATAAAGCAGGATTATGAACGATAAAGACAAAATTCAATAATCTTTATTTCGAAATAATGCTATAAACATAGAAAGTCATTCGTCTTTTTCTACAAAATACAGTATTACAAAGGCACATAGTGTTCGCGTTCAGTAACTTGTCACGTGTTCAACAGAGATGGTGGTAGGTTCTTCTTATTACAAAATATCATTTTATACTGAACAATAAACTCCCGTTGAGAACTTAAATTAAACAACGTCGCGTGCGGACTAATTAGGACATTAAAGCTTCTTTGCCCTTTCTCTTTATAATTTTAAACTATGTTTGGTAATAGACGTCAGTCCGCCTAGAAGACAATCATCAACACCAATCCTCGGAGTTTCATGACTCGTTTCCGCCTTAAAAAAGACAACACTTTTGTTCTTCTCAAGAATATCACGGGATTCGCTCAAAAAAAAAGAAGAAGATATTTCCATATCCATCCGCCATTGCATGAAAGAATAAGAAAAGGGGCAAATATATCTTCGTTGCACAAGCTTAATTAGACGTGTATCAAACAAAGTCGTCAGGAAGAGCGAGGTCGATTTGCTTTGAATCTAGGGTATGCAAGAAATTAATCACAACCGTTCATCTCAAGATTCATCATGCGCAAAATAAAATGCATACCGCAAGTCACAAGTCCAACTGGAGTTGTAAGATTAGAGTCTAGAAAATACATAGAAAATAGAATCAATACTTATTTATAATTTAACGTGAAAAGCATAATTATGGTTTCATGCTGTACCCGAATAATCAACACCATTATTTTTCGGTTTAGGTAAATATGAGCTTTCGCCCGGCAACATTTTACTAGAATATTTGCTCTCCTTTTCAACACGTGATAATGGTTCTACGTCGCCTCTGCGGTAAATAGTATTCCATACATTATCGTCAGACTTGTCCTTGTCTGCCTCTTCAATAAGGCGAAATATATGTCTATAAGATTCAAATGCAGTTGGACGTTTGTTGGGATCAGCATCACAACACTTTCTAGCAAGATTTCCATAAGCTTCTGGTGTTGTAGCAGGCATTGCTGGTCGCAATCCATTACAGATAGCTGTTGCCAAATGCTCATCAAATGGTCTATTTCTGAAGGGTGGCTCACCACTGGCAATCAAATGCATGATGATGCCAATGGCATACATGTCTGATTGCTGAGTAAACTTGTAATTATGCAAGACTTCGGGTGCAATAAAAGGTAAAACACCTTGAACAGTTGAATTTGACCCAGAGTTCTTTGATCGAGAAAGACCAAAATCACATATTAAAATGAATGGAAGTCCTGAACGAAGATATCCTTCTATCTCGGATGCATTGCAATTCAAAACTATATTGCCGCCATGGAGGTCACAGTGCACCAATCCTCTGTCATGGATAGTATACAAATTATTTAGAATGTCAAGCAGAATCTGTAATTTCATCTTCCATGTCAATTTGTTGATATTTTGTTCCAAAAATGACAAAAGATTACCACCATTGGCATATTGCATTACAATCATGTAATCTTTTGTCTTGGGTGGTTGTGTGACTCCATAAATCTTAAGGAATGCGGGATATTTACCAGAGCACTTGGCATGATTCTTGAACTTTTAAACAGACAGGTCAGAAACACGTCATTGATTGATCGGAGCGAATTATATAAGAGATTGATTGCTTACCTCAGAGATAAATACTTCCGGCATCTGCTCGAAATTCTTAAAGCGTTTAATAGCGACACGCTCATCCAAACTCTTACACCTGGCCGTATAGACAGTTCCATAACCACCAGATCCAATCTCTTCAATCTTGTCGAAATCTGCATATTCCATAAGTTGGACATTTTTACCGTGATGCATGGAGACGTATCTTCCCAGTATTTCAAGCATGTCTCGGTAAAAGACCAAACAATAGTCTCCGATAGACGGCACTCGAGTGATACCAATAATCCAAATATTATCTGGAGTTAATATCTCTGGATAGTCTTTAGTTAACTATTTTAAGTGAAAGATACAAGTTAATTAAAAAACTCAACATTCAGATGAGATCGTTTGCATCGTTTATGTATAAACACTTTACCTGATAAAAGTCGAACGACTGAGCGTTGTGCCCATCAATTATCTTTTTCATCATTACTGTTATCACTTCGCTCGTTCGCGGTTCTAACCAGTCGGCTACATGTGTGCATCCATGGTATAATGAAGTCGCCTTGCGTACGTGTCTCAATTGAGAATACTCTATCCATTTTATATGACTATCAGCCTCGTCTTTCGCATTACTCCACGACTGCATTATAAACGAATCAAGGGAATTGTTCCCAGTAGTCCAATCAAGAGGTCTTGATGCCTTACACCACCAACAGAATGTGTTTATTTTGACTTTAAATCGTTCTGCACACGCCAGACATAACCCAATTTCATTCATGAATTTAATTAGATAATATTTCTGTTCTTTCGCATTATACGTAAATCCGATAGTAATCCAAACGTTTGTTGTACGTATATCTGGATGGTCTTTGCATAACTAGTGAAAAATACTTTATATTAATGTCAACAATTAATTTAGTAGAATAATATACTCTGGATTGCTTACCTTTTCATAATATGAATCTTCCGTCTCGTCCGTTATTTCAAGTGGAATCAATCTTATCGTACAGTAAACGGGTAGATCGGTTAAATAAACACTATATCTTTGAATTTTGATACGATCGAATGGAATCCATTCCACATACGCCTCATTTGCCGAGACAGTCTGTACTTGTGAGTCCTTAATAAACTTGTCCAGTTTCTTGTTGTTGCTAGTCCAGCCATCAGATAACTCTTTATTCCCGCAAATACACCACACAGGACTACATCTGAGTATTCCACATGCAGAACAGAATCCACAGAGAGAATAATAATGATGGAAGCGTCCCCTGGCTACTAGATAATAATTATCTTCATATTTGGTAAATCCACATATCATCCGATTGCGATAAGAAAGCCATTTAGAATATCTTCTGAACTGATTAACATTGGGTGGATTAGCATACTCGTTTGTTGGAAGTGAGTAAATTCTTGCAAACTCATCCACGGATGCTGGTGTACATTTTTCATTGCTACCAAGTAATAACAACATTACATAACCATGTCGTTTGTGCATAGCGTAACGGATAGTCTTGCCGCTTTCAATTTGAATTGTCTCTGTGTTGGTAATGTCCGAGTAAGGAATCCATTTAAGACTATAAGATCCAAGATCTGAGGAGGATCTGATCAGACCGTTTATTGCTGGACATTCCAAACTATGAACGTCTTCATTCTCTGAGCTTAAGGACATTGTTTTGAACATACAATTACCGGCTCGATGAAAGAGTAACGGTCTCAATGTCACACGAGTGATAGTGTTGTTATGTGCTACATTCTTACACACAGTCAGGACCGGCAATACTAACTGTAACATTGAATACGTTCGTACGCAAGCTTGCTCTAGTAATAGCAATAAGTCTAAATGTAACAATCGTTTAATATATTAACGCAGGTCTTTAGTCTCATGATATTCGAATAATTGATAATATTGTGCCGCTAGGATCGCGCATCAGCGATCATAATAGCGTAATCGGCGATGGTTTGTCGGTTTGTTTTTTGTTTTTTTTGTCAATTTCATTTTATTATGTTGCAATTTGTTACAATGATTATTCTAAACGATAATCTGGCATTCCCTCTGTCTTACACTTCCCCCCCCCATTATTTTCTTCAGCACACTAATCCAGTAATTTGGGGTAGCACTCACAACGAGCTTGACTTTTGAACTTTTGTTTAAGAAAGTTGTCTTCCCGCTTCATCCACTATTGCCTTCTCAAGTATATTGTTAGTTGCCTTGATCACGAGGGGTGTACAGTTGCAGGCATCAGACTCGGATTTCTGTAAACATGTTCTTAGATGTCTACCCGGGATTCGTAGACCAGAGGCGGATGAAGCAAAAGCGTCGTAGGACTGCTTGATGGATTTGTGTTTTAGTTTTTGAATAAATTTTTTTGAGAATTGGATGTTCAATCGCTGAGAATTGGGATTCGTAGACCAGAGGCGGATGGAGCAAAAGCAAAAGCGTTGCAAGAACAATAGCGATAATTGCTCGTCATATTTGCAATATATTGTTTTAGCTCCGTTAGCCGTATTTCGCACTTTATATATCTGAACTCCAATTAACAAGATCAATCGACCACCAGTTAGGACTGCTTGGATGTCTTGAGATTTGTGTTTTAGTTTTTGAATAAAATTTTTAGAGGATTGGATGTTCATTAATGGCCAGGTTGGCAATCGTTGAGAATTGGGATTCGTAGACCAGAGGCGGATGGAGTAAAGCGTCGTAAGACTACTTGACATGTTTGAATAAGATGTTTTGAAGTATAATCAACTACGTCATTGGGATTTGTGTTTTAGTTTTTGAATAAAGTTTTTGGATGGTTGAAATTGGGTTTCGTAGACCAGAGGCGGATGGAGTAAAGCATCGTAGGACTACTTGACATGTTTGAATAAGATGTTTTGAAGTATAGTCAACTACGTCATTGGGATTTGTGTTTTAGTTTTTGAATAAAGTTTTTGGATGGTTGGACGTTCATTAATGGCCAGGTTAGCAATCGTTGAAATTGGGATTCGTAGACCAGAGGCGGATGGAGTAAAGGTCGTAGGACTACTTGACATGTTTGAATAAGATGTTTTGAAGTATAATCAACTACATTATTGGGATTTGTGTTTTAGTTTTTGAATAAAGTTTTTGGATGGTTGAAATTGGGATTCGTAGACCAGAGGCGGATGGAGTAAAAGCGTCGTAGGCCTGCTTGGGTGTCGTAGGACATCAACTTTATCTTTGAAAGTTCGTTTCTCGCGTTGTCCGGATGTTCCGTTCGGTTGAAATACTTATGTATGTTTATGCTTGCCATGTAGAAATGAATATAATTGGAGATACAGGAGCAGCAGATTTTGGTATGCCTTTGTCTGTCTGAATGAAGAAGACATAGTAATAGGGTATAGTAATAGGGTATAGTAATAGGGTGTTCAATAAATGCACCAATTGCGTCACACAGTCACTGCAGCCAATAATATAAGACAAACGCTACTCCCCGACACGTTTGTTACCAGTGTGTGTGACTAGAGAACACTGAAGTCTTATTTGGTAAAGAAAGCTCGAGATCAGGTTTACTATTGAATTGCACGTATCTAAGGAAACAAGTTTAGCATTCTAAATAATCACTCCTGATGGCTTTATATTTTCAAGAGCGACAATATTCTGTAATAAATAATAACTTTGTGCTTACGAATTATTGTTATTTATTATTTCTATTTATTGAGGCTAGGCAATGGGGGGTAAGATGTTGCTTCACATAGCGTATGCTGCAGCAAATTTACAACTGCTGAACGTTGCAAATTGTCCACATCATCTTTATTATTATATTATTATCTTTCGTATTTGCCTTGATATTAACGCAATAAAGAGTTCGCTTGTAAAAGCAAGCATGTTTTGTAAAGCTTATCGATTTGTTTCTATTATAACAAATATATAGCGGTTAATATTTTAATTGTAATGAAAAAGATTCGTTTATTCATATACATTAATTTCTGCGCTACATTTATTTTTGCATCCTGGAGATGTTCTAACAAACATGGCCGCCAAACAAAGATTGAAAAGGTTTGGGTGTCTGAGGGAATGGTGCAGAGGAAGGATATGTTTAGGAGTTGCATTGGTTGCGTTCGTTGGCACTCACGACAATTACGATTCTGAACCCCTGAAACTGCGCTGTGACATTGTCGTATGCATCTCTAATGCATAGAATGATGTCTTTCAACACCTGAACCTTATTGCTATATAATAATAGCAGTAAAATAGTTACGTGAACTTTTCAACGCATCAAATGTTGCATATACAATAAAATAATTCGATTGGTACAATTGAGCCGTATAATTTATGGCCTTGCGTTGACAAGAAATATATGTTATTTGCTATACCTTGTTATAGCCCCATAAAAAGGTCCGTCCCAACATGTGTGTCGTATTTCCTCTACCACAGTTACCATGGTTACAATAAATCATGATGGTAAAAAATAAAAACTTTTAATTTTTCTTCAAATAAACGACAAACACGTGACATTCCAGTAATCACGTCATGGGAAAGTGAAAAAGGCCCCGCTTGTACTTGTCTAACGTTGCAAGGAATTACGTAACTGTACCATGGCAAAGTTATTACGATCTTGGTACATTTTTCGGGTTGATGGCATTCCGAGCCAATCATTCGACCTTTTTGTTGTCAACTTTTCGTTTTCCACTATTAATCCCACTATAACTACCCCTTCCTTCGCTGCCCGTCTATATTCCACATACGCTCTTTTCAATTAGTTCCTGTTATACCAGTTTAAGAACGTTCTAGCGTGGCGAGAGAATAGTAAAAAACTATGGGCCTATTTAACCTTGAAGAACAACTCACTTTCTATGGACAATATCATAATAACAAGACCAACGTCATTATTCATATTGGTATGACAATCGCATTTTCATATAATTCGCTGACACTTTGAACGAATACACACAAAACATCGATTAACGACTTGTAATCCCATCATATAATATCACCTATGGACCTTGACTCGCTCGGCAACGGTTTGACGTACGACACGATACACTCATGATTACCTCTGGGATGCCAATTTACAAAGTCTTTGTTCCGCTAATTTTGTGGAGTTCGTTTGTATGGGCATCTAATACGGGACCATTAGTTGGATATGATGAAGATTCCTTGTGGAGCAAGACGCCATTCGAACCAAATCTTGCTTTTTTCGCCGCCTTATTTTATGTGTGCTACTACCTACTGTTGGAACCTATCGCTGGGGTAAGTGAATTCGTTGATCTGGGTATGAGGAAGTATGTGAGAGAGAGATTTTCGTTACGAGGAGTATTACTCGAAATGATGAGTAGTTTAATGGCGGATAAATATTGAGAGATTGTAAAACAAGAGAGAAGTGCTAATCAATCAGGTTGAGATTGTTGTATTTTCGTAATCCTGTGTATATTATTCCATCAGCGTTATATTGGCGAGTTTTCACCGTTCTCATTCTAATCCTATTCAAACTATTTCTCACTTTTTCAATCAATCCGTTTTTTCTTATGTCGCCAACAAACTCTTCATAAACTTTTTACACTATCCCAGTTAATTTATGCTCCTATTATCCTCGGAATGGCATATAATGCAACCGAGTTTATGAAGACATATCCGGGTCATAACTATCTCGCTGGAATCGTTCACGTTGGAAGTTGGATCGTTCAGTTCATTGGTCACGGAGTTTTTGAGAAGAGAAGTCCCGCTTTGAAGGATAATATCGCTCAAGGTAATAAATGATGGTATTAGTCACTTGATAAATATTAGATCAAAATGCTTTGATTTATATTCTACTCAATTATCATATATCGCTTTATGGCTAATACTGGATTATCTGATCGCAATTTAGCACTGCTTCTCGCTCCCTTGTTTGTATGGCTTGAAGTTCTGTTTGCCACTGGGTATCGACCTGCCCTACAGAAACGTGTAGAAGCCAAGGTTAATACTGCTATTACCAAATTTAAGGCAGGACAAAAGAAGGCAGGGCAAAAGAAGGCAGATTGAGATGTACGCATTATATGATATGTGTGAGAGAGAATTGATATCTGCCACATCGAATCTAGAGCACGATTAATACATTCAATACGTTCGCATATTACAGAATGAACATTGCTAATATTGATAATTTGTACGACATGAGTACGCATCCGTTAACATTCTCGACATGTGGTTTATGGACGGTACGATGTTTTTCTTGGTTAATAAAGACTTGTTTATAGCTTTTAGCGTTGGGCACGTATGCGTGTTTTAGGTGATTGTGGGGTAGGTATTCCGTCATCTTGTAAATATTGCATGTTAAATTTGGTTACCAGATTGTCAAGGCAATATATTCTGATTAGATATTACTGTATAATTAAACCCGTTAATATTAATGTATGTATTAAGGTTGGAAAACAATCTTCTGACACAACTTCCGAAAAGCATTAAAATTTTTTTGCTGTTCTTCCCAATGATTAGGAGAGTTGAGTGCGATTGAATTATGTCTGTTGATATGATTTCCCGTATTATATTTCAAAAGCATCGCTTTTATTTTCGGATATCTTCACAGACGCCAAAGTAGTCCGTAAATGTGCCGTCAAAAATTAAATCGGATTAAAAATGAAATTTTCTCTATTTTAATATGAAAATTTAAAATTTTTTGGGGACGCTTTTTTTTGGATTTGGGATGGGATTTAGGGTAATTTTTGTTAATAGAAGAGTATATGTGGGTTTCAGCATTAAAAGAGGATCCAAGAAACCCCAATTTCGTTTTAATCCGATTCATTTTAATCTGCCACAATTAATGTTAACATTTCGGTACGGTACATCATACGAATAGATCAGAAAAGAAAAGAAAAATATCCCGTCTCCAAACATTCAAATTTCCGAAAATTCTAATTATGGGGAGTCGAACAATTACTATATTAATAGGCAGTTCGGAATATTTTTACGTGATCGTCATTTTACCACTAAACTAGCCATGCTAATGAATATTTAACCTTAACTCCACTACTTTTACGGATTGTTTCCTCTCCTCTCTGAAACCCAAGATATGTGGATTTCTTTCCGGATGATCTTTAACCGGATGCAAAAACTCCAATGGGGTGTGCAACCCCTGCCAAGGCTTCACATTACCTACATATTGGATAATTCAATCGCGTTTTGGTGCCCCAATTAAGACCACGTTGACTTTTAAGAAAAGATTTGTTCGATGACGAGAATGCTCTCAACTGCGTTGGTATTAGTATTAGTATGGGCGCGGAAACTAATTCGACGGGGGGCATATTAATATGTAATGAATGCCTACACGTGGAAATCTTTGGGAAATTTAACAGCAGAATCGCCAGATTTAATCCGAAGTGAGAATGGTGATTAACTTAAAACTCCATGAGAACACATTGTGAGCTTATTATTGAAAACAATGGTGAATACAGACTCATTGTGAATGTCTCAATATAAGCCTTATTGTTTAACAATTTTTCACTACATCGGAATTTATTCTTCCCAAAATTTTGTTACAGATAGTATATTATCGTGAGAGAAAACACATTATTTATCGTCTCTGAGAAAACTCCAATACCTCCACATCCTTTCACAGACAAGTAATTTCTGTTTAGGACTCAAGTTAGGATCTTCAAGATCTCCGACATCCTCCAAGAAACCCGCTCGAATATTCCTACGTTTCGGCAGATAGGACCCATACGTGTGTAACAGGTGAGCTTTCGCGAGAACTAGTCCTTCGGTCATGTAAAGAGGATGGTCTTCCCGAATTAAAACTCTTTCTAATTGTCTGATGGCAATAAACGAAAAGAAAAAAAAGTGATTATTATTATCAGTTACTAACCAGAGAAGGAATTGAAAGACATCATTCACAACATACCCTAAGGTTACCCTTATTCGTTGATTCCCGGCCCACCATCCGCGTATTCCCAACAGTCTATTGCCCAACCATGATGATACAATATACACAATAAACAAACTGGGACCAACGGCCAAGAATGCAAAGTTCAGCTCATTGGATTTCAAAAGTTTGTCCAACGCGGACATTGCTGTATCTAAGTCAACTTTGGTTTTCTGAATTTGAATCAAGAACGTCCGAAGCAGTTTTCCTGTTTAAATAATAAATATGCTGGGTAAGCCGCTAAATAGGCTCACAGAAAGAAGATCAAAAAATAAGATTATGCGCTTTATAAACTAACCTTGAACAACAGATCTGAGCGGTTTCTTGAAAAATATGGCAATGTTAGATATAACTATACGCATTATTCATACTAATCAATATAACCCGCCCGCAGTGATAATTTAAGATTTCCAACTCTTTGTATAAACTTGTACTATCCGACATATTTTCAAAGGAAAAAATGACAGTCGAGGTTGTTAAGCCGTAATATGATAACGTAATGTGTTTAATTCTCCGCAACCCCTATCAATCAATTAGAAACTGTCCGTATAGTAACAATGATTGTGATTGTAGTTTTTGAAAAGGAATATTATGGTGTCATATCTCAGTTAGGGACCTGGACCGAGACAACTGAGTTCTGGACTGAGTGACTGGGTTCTGAACTGAGACAGGTCCCAAATTCGGACAAGGACAGTGGCATAAAATCTATTATTTTTATAAAAGCTGAGTGCGTCGGAAAATACACTCACTGGACAAAAATCACCGTGATTTTTGCCGATCAAAAAACATATGAAAAATCTTTTTCTTCAAAGAGCTCTACTGTACGCATTTACCATGTAATCCACAACGATTTTGTACCGATTTGAAGATAATTGGTTGTACTTTCCGAGAAAATAATGATATACTAATACTGCAGTTCGATGTGTCTATGTTACACATATGAAAATCTATGAAAAACATATGTGTAATATAGATACCACCACTTCGTCGAGATGATAACACGACTAACCATATTAATATCATTATTTTTCTCGGAAAATACAACAAATTATCTTCAAACCGGTACAAAAATCATTGTGACTTACATAGTAGATACGGCCAGTAGAGGTTTTCGAAAAAATAGATCTTTCATAATTGCAAAAATCACGGTGATTTTTGTCCAGTGAGTGTATACGTGTAGCCTATCCGTCACTTCATCGAGAACCAGCTTTAACGATGCAAACGTTATTGTTACTTACATAGTAATTGATTGATAGGGGTAGTGCCATCAGTCGCTTTAGTGAGGTAAATATTTGCAGACATCCAGCAAGTTCGGATTTCACACGTGTATTTGACTTGGGGCGGGTATTATAATATAACGTAACCTCTTTACCTGTAATTCGATCTCATAGGCTCTCAATACAATCGACAAATCACCTTCTCTGACTTCCTCGGCCAGCTCAGCAAACTGTTCTTCTGTCAAGTTATAATTCTTCTTTGCAAAGTCTATAACCATACGCTCTAAAGACTGCAAAAATCACTTTATGAGCATGCATTACAAAAGTATAACCCCAACTCAAGTAAACAATTTTTGGTTCGTTCTTCCCGTTGTCTCTTTCATCATTGATATGATCATTTCCCACCAAAAACAAACCTCTAAATCTGCTTTCAGACTATTCTTTCCCATAACCGCCAGGCGCCTTTCACGATGTCGAATGGTCTCTATGATTCCCACAACTGGCTGCCAGACCCAGTCCGCCCAAAATTTTTCTATCGTTTCTGCAGCATTATTGGCCAAGGTTTTTATTTTTTGTTGATGATCAGTAACATATCGTGTGAGTTTAGTGCCGAAAAGGATAACGCTAATTGAAGGGAGCCAGTAGCGTGTGATAGCGGAAGGTCGACCGTAAGTAGTGTGGATCAAATGGTTTGCAGAACAATAGGCAGGTAGATGGGTCGTGAGGATGGAGCGGATGTGAGTGTAGCAGGCTAGGAATGAAGGTGGCTCCGATACTTCATAATATGCTTGTAGAATTATTAGACACAAAAAAAAAGTATAAATATAAATATACGGTATACATGACGGTTTAAGTTCTCAGTCACTGTTTCCGTCTTTTTTTACCTACAAAACGCATCTTCAGCATCAGGCATCTTGCTTTTCTCCAGTTCAACATCCCTCCCTTGAAATAGCACTTGCTCAATGATCACTATTCCCTTCATTACTTTGAATGCCACGATTTCATGCACTCTTTCCTTATCCTCTTCTGTATAATCTTCAAATTCCGGTCCCTTTCCCACCAATAGCCCAAGAATGGTCGCGTAATAATCCATGACGTTTTTTAAAATTTTCTTCTTATGTTTTACTTCTAATTTTGTTAATGATAAGAGATTAAGGGATGGATGGGCTATATAATGCCTTTGAAGATAAGAAGGAAAGAGGTGCAGCAGAGTGGTGGAAGATAATATCGAGGACAATGACCGAGAGGTCCGATTATGGAAGACATTAAGACTGAGGCCGTATACGCGATGTGGAGTTGCTGATTATGAACATTTGGAGAAAATAAGAAAAGATGATCAGAAAGGCGAACGAATAAAGATCAAACGGGTATTGAATTCGATCGATTGAGATAACAACTTATTATTTGGCGAACTTTGTAGAAAATGCCCAAGTATCCATAAAGATCTTCCTTCGCATTCTTGCCAGTAACAGATATCATCATATAACGGTAGGATAACATCCAGAATTTTCTCAAGCACGTTCGCATATACGGCAACCAAAACCTTGGCCAGAAACATCCACTCGATCATTTTTAACCCTTCTGTGATTCTACTGTTGTCGTTATCCGCATTGATTTTCCAATATTTGTGTACATTTTCTCCCACAGCATCTAATACGCATAGTATTCTCTCAAAAGTAGGAATTGTATTTTTGTCCAAAGTTATGTCCAGAATGGACTGTTTAAGTAACAAAGCTAACGATTCAGCCGTAGACTCATTTATATCGGAGACATTAATAGCGTCGAGTCGTTCATAGAGATATTCGAGGGATGCCTTGGCATTGGGCGCATTAAAAAGCGTTTCGATATCCGCATTCAACTTTTGGACGTGTTCGACAATAAAACACATTTTTTTGCAACCGGAAAAAATTTTCCGGTCAAAAAAGAATATAATAGTAATGCTAACGCCTAATAAAGAATACTAAATACAGTTTAACACGTGAACCGGGCGTATAGACGTTGTAGAATGCGTTTGATGACTCGCATTGTGTGTGTATGTGCACCAGGCCTGTATGATAAACCCGCATGTGAAACCCGGGTTCCCACATCCTTGCCTCGACGTTAAACTCCCTTGCTCAAAAAGACCCGTAAAATAGTGATCAAATGAGTAATATAATACCTTTTTCTAATGAAAACACGGAAAATAACGATGACGACGACGACGGTCGTCCCGTTGTCGTTGACACAGATCCTACTGGCCGGTTTGAACGATATGAAGAGTGTTTGGGTATTGGAGCTTATAAGGAAGTGTTTAAAGCGTTCGACCAGGAGGAAGCCGTTGAAGTTGCATGGTGTCAGCTGAAAGCAAGTTTTTCGGGAAGAAAGGACGTAGAAAAGATATTGAACGAAATCTCGATTTTGCAGTCATTGCGCTGTGAAAATGTCATTAATTTTTACACATCCTGGGCAAAGAAGGGATCTGACGGGAGAGATCATATAATATTCATAACTGAACTCATGACTTCAGGCACGCTCAAGCAATACATAAAGAGAACCAAGGGCCTTCTTAAACCCAAACTTCTTAAGCAATGGGCTCGTCAGATATTAAAAGGCCTGAACTATCTACACACGCGAACCCCGCCAATTATCCATAGAGATCTCAAATGCGACAATATTTTCATTAATGGGAATAACGGCCAGGCCAAGATTGGTGATCTTGGTTTAGCAATAATCAAAAACAGAGACCACGTATCATCGGTGCTTGGAACGGTATTATATACTACTTTGGGTGAATTTGGGCTTCTTGTGTGTTCCCTGTCTTCAGATGCTTATATTAATATTGTTTGCTTTGCATTTCATGAAACCAACCTCTTGCAAAACCCCATAGCCCGAATTCATGGCGCCTGAATTATATGAGGAGAAATACAACGAAAAGGTGGACATCTATGCGTTTGGAATGTGCATGCTCGAGTTAGTAAGTAAGGAATATCCATATTCTGAATGTAATAATCAGGCACAGATCTTTCGTAAGGTTACGTCCGGTATAAGGCCACAAGCACTAGAAAAAATACAGGATCCAAAAACATTAGAGTTTGTAGAACTCTGTCTTAGGTTTGATCCAGACAAGAGACCTTCGGCTGCTGAACTTTTGGAGCATGAATTTCTGCAAGATACTAGCGCCGCTAATGAACCAATAGCTTTATCAGAACAACAAGCAACGTCGCCAGTATTACCTGTATCATATGATCACAATAATCCAGAGACATTAATAGCCACTATATCGTCACCGCTTTCGCAAGTGCAGTCTTCTACGGACTTGCGAGGGCATAATTCGACAACTGAAACTATCACTAATGAAACTGTAAAAGCGAAATCTCAGTCGGACATCACTAAAGTTGAGTCATACGACCCGAAAAAATTTCCAACACCCCTTAATTTGTCAATTGCAACCAAAACCATTGACGCAGAGAGTAAAACTTATCAAGTACGGTCAGCTACTTTTCCGCCTCCACAACAAGTTCAAAAATTAACAACGGACGCGTCTGTCGATCGGAACGTTCAAGGAGAAGATTTATTTAAATGTGATGTCAAAATTGTAGAAAAACTCACACGAGAAGAAGTTACACTGAAAATGACTATAACTGAACCAGGACAACAAGAAATGGAGATAAAATTTCCATTCAATTTAGAAGAAGATACGATCAAGAACGTCGTGGCAGAGATGGTACGCGAGTCAATTTTGAAACCAGAAGGACAAATGCTGGCGCAGCAAAAAATCGAAGATATTGTTAGTAAGATTGCATGGGATGCGCCTACGCCTGCTCAACAAGATCGACGACGGCAACAACAACAGCAGCAACAACAACAACAACAGCAACAACAACAACAACAACAACAACAACAACAGCAACAACAACAACAACAACAACAACAACAACAACAACAACAACAACAGCAGCAGCAGCAGCAGCAACAGCAACAGCAATACCGACAACAGGATGTGTCACTACAACAATCGCGACAAGGACAGCCACTGCTGTTGCAATCACAAGAATCTCATGCTAGTCTTCCACGATCAAGAACATCCTCCATTCATGGTCAAACAGAACGTTCTCATGATGGTGCACTTGATGGCTCGTCAATAATGACTCCTACAAAAATAGCTGTCAACGCTAATGGATTTCCCTCGCCAAATTATTATTCCGACATTTCGTCATCATATGGAAGCATGGAATTACTACAAAAGACTTCTCATCACGGAATTTCTTCATCCATCGAGAGCCTTCCACATACTTCATCGACTCGAGCTTCGTGGGAAAAAGAAGACGACGAAGTCCGAAAAGTGCTTAGTCGCAATGACAGAATGAATGATAGTTTTCTCCAACCAGCTGGTTCTCAGCTTGTGTTACCAGTCGAAACATCTGTAACAGAACCCATGGCTCGTGAAATTCCCGCACAATTGCCAAGCACCATGGTGACCAAGTCACGCACGACGGAGGATGTCGTTCCAGGACATTTAGCAAAGAGACGATCATCTTCTCTGTCATCTTCTCTGCCGCCAGCTGAAGTTATAATGCAACAAGTTCCCTCATTTACCATACGATCCGAGATGGTTGCTACTTATCAAAATCCCACTGCTGTTGTTGGAAATTCGCTTGCGCCTAGTATTAGTATGAATGAACCGACGGCTACTGAATCATTGCTACCATCTCCATCAAGCCTTCCTGCTCGACCGCCTTCGGTGGGAACCACGGAACGGCTAGCAAGTCGAACAGATTCTTATCATGTGCAGGAGTTGCCTGAGACAGATGTACACACAGATACTATTTTAGTGCCTACAGAGTCATATGATAATGAAGGAATGTTAGTCATTGGCGAACCGCAACACGTAGGGCATGCAAATTCTTCTGGGCCACAATCTCCTGCAATGATTCCTAATAGAGACGACCGAACAAGAAGAATTTCTAACCCCCCTGTGCCTAATTCCTCTATATATTATACGAATATACCTCATCATCATATCGATGCGTACCATGCATCGCATGAACATCTAGTGAGAAAAGTGCCCACTTCGTCGACCGGGTCGCTTTCGTCCGTTCATTCGATCGGTGCTCTAGACAGTTCAATTGTACAGTCGGACTTTTTGTTACGTGATCAGCTTCATCCTGAAAGTCTACAGGGAATGATTGATGGGATAGGAGTGAGTATTGGATTGGGAATAGCCGATGCTGGATATACATCTAAATCTCACGGTATTTCTCTTTTTACTCTAATTGGTCACTATCATAAAAAGTTTAATATTTAATTGAATAACATTGTTTTCTCTAGGCTATGTAAATATTAATTCAGACGCATCACAACCACTACAATTGGATCCTTTAACCCATAGACTAGGTTCTCGCCTTGCGGAAGAACCATATTCATATGAACCAGATGAAGATGATAGTACTGAGGACGATGAATTAGATTTAGTATCTGATTTGAGAGAGAGACAGAGGAGAGAAACGCAAGAGCTACAAGCTAAACATGAGCACGAATGGGCTGCCCTAATACAACGCAGAAAAATGCGACATAAATCCCCACATGTAAAGGCCGCCAATTCTTCTATCGGAAGATCTGTTATCTCTCCGCTGATGCATCGACCAGTGTCCGAATTGTCAGACCATCAGGTTGGTAGTATATCATCTGTATCTTCGACATCATCGCATGGGGATTCGCGGGGCATCTTTTAATCAAACGTACGGGTGCCTGAAGTGCTTGACTGATAGCACTCGCTCTATAATGATAACAAACGTAATATTAAAAATTTAAAAGTTTATAATGTCTAGATCTATAATAATAGTGTATGGCATACATTATTAATAAATTAGAACCAAATATTTAATAAGAGAGTCGCTAGTAAAACTTATGGTAGTTCTCTCGTTGTTCTTGTATCTGATGCTTATTAATTGGAGAATCTTCATCGGTACAGAATCCTCAGACAGTTCAAACGGTCGCCAGTAATCAACACGTGAACGCTGACACCCAGGCCCCGTCTGGCATATAGGGACAGTCACCAACACGATATGACTTGGTGAGCATCCCATTATTTTCATAACAACTCTGCTTTTCTTGGTTAGTCAATTTTTTAGACTTGTTCTTTCTAAGCGTACTTAATCTTCAGTTCCACATCCATAGAATAAAAGGCATGGGCGGACTTACGGTGGGACATTGTGTGGTATATGGCCCATCCCTTAGACGGACACTTGAAATCCAAATAGGTTACGTGATGTCTTTGTAATGATATATTGCTCAATGAACACTAATAATTATTAATATGAGCAAGAATTGGTTAGACTGGTAATAAGAGAAATGATTGGTTTTGACAAATTGTATTTAATTCAAGGAATAATTGTCAAGGATCCCAAATTATGAGTAATGTCGATGGGACGCGTGTGGCTTAACTTGGTATTGCACATTCGCCAAGGTAATGATCTCTATGACAAAAAAAAATTTTTTTCTTCCTTGATTCGAAAATCAAGAGAATGGTAGATTATCTGTTATGTGTGAGCCGTAATCTAGTGATATACCATCATCATCATTTTCATGCTCTATTTTATCTTCTTGGTCGACCATTCGTTTTCCAAGGGAGTGGTCGGGTTGATAGAAGTTTCTTATAGTAACGCATTTCTTTGGCGTAATTCGTGAATTCAAACACGAAAAAAAAACAAACAACTTGCAGTATTTGACATATATTGTAGGTTCGTTTAACGAGCGGTTTACTGAATTGATCTTACATTAATTTCTACGAGTTATACGTCATTGATTATACGTTCTATCTAAATACCAAGTCTAATCAGCGAACACATAAAACAACAAAAGTAAGCTTTTTTTTGTAAATTATTGTGCTGTTTATAGGTTAAAGTTGCGAAACATATATTATGATTTTTTGGACCCGAAAAACAGATGCTATTCGTCTGTTGTCGTTTTTTTTTTCTATCTGTACAAAATTTTAGACAGAGACCTGCTTCTAACGGTTTCAATGTAGTTTGTTCAAAACAATGGTTTTCTTTCTTCGGGAATTGTGACAAAAATGTGTTAAGAACAATACGTTGACAGATGGATTGACATTATTCCGATCTTGAACGTGGGCATCGAAAACAGAGATTTAATATTAAATGCACAACATGTATAATTTATGCTCCCGTTATAATATTTAATTGGCTACCACGGGAGCGCATATAATGTGACATAAAACGGTCTTGATCGAATTTAATTATACAAGCGAATGACCGCTCAGTTCTTTCATCGTTCTTTGTATTCAAAATGCGGGTAATAGTAAATTAAGATGCCACCAATAAATTGAAACAGTGATGTACACAAGGGTTTGTGATCCCATTCAAACATTAAATGCATGAAATTTTTCCCGTAATCGTGTGGAAAAAATGATGTGGGAAAAATAACGAACGTGGAAAATTTTAGGTTTATGATTCTCAGGGAATATTTTAATATAACCAAATCTCGTGAGATTTTTTTAGGGCGTCGAACCTTGAGACTTTCCTGAACTAGTCAGTTTTATCTAGAGATTATAATTTCCACTCAAATCTATCCGTGACGGCAATTGATATCAAGATTGTAAAGGCCGTTCGAGGCCTGGATATAAAGTTTGAAAGTAAATCAGATTTTTATTTTGACTATGATAAAAAGGCTTCTTCAGCTCCTTCGATCAGCAGCAGGGGAATAAAATTATTAGCGGCGACAAAGATAAACAAAAAGCCATCCTGCTTTGATTAATAAATAGTATTATTTTATATTCTTTCATATACCCACAAGTAAACAATAAAATAGATTACATTTTAATAATTTTCTTTTTTTTTCCAGTGGTTGTCAGACAAAAGGTAAAAACATCTTACAAGAAGAAATGAAAAGAACCAAAACAAAAAAAAAATCTAAAAATATATAGTTAAGAGAATTCAACCGATACAAATATAAATCAAAAGTTCTTTTCAGAGTGATTAAAGAGACAGAAATGGTAGTACACATCCGCTACTCAGGCTCGTCGTTTAAACTACTTGTACAATGCATAGATAACAATGGCTCCTTGTCTATAGTTTGCCTTGCAATACCAATTCTATACTATTATTAATGAATTCCTTACGCGAAGACATGTCAGCGTTAAACGTGGCAGTCAGTTGCTCACGCACTAGATGGTAAGAAAGTAGAGTTATTCATGTCAGTTATATTCAATCAAGTAAGAAAGTTTGCTGCAAAGATCCCAATACCAAATACGAATACAATAATCATAACGTTGTCGTCATCATAATTGCATTCTAACATCCCTTATTACATACCTTGTTTCTTAGTAATGCTCATGAGATTGGCAGTTGCTAGAATATTTTTGATTTCAGCCAAGACTTCCTCGTCGCTTGGTCCGTCAGAAAGCACAGCCGAATAAGCACTTAGGCGGTTAACCTGAGCGCCATAGAATTCCATATCCTGGTTGCGCGGAGCAATCATAGAGCTTCTTGGTTCAGAGTAATAATCTCCAACAGCGCTAAACGCCCTCGAGCTTCGTAATTCTGACTGTTCGTACTTGGGCGCAGGAGACCTTGATCTTCCTCTTGTTCTGTCAGGTGCGGCTAAATTCGTATCTCTGAAATAGTCACTCCCTCCGCCGTATTGACTTCCACCAAATGCACTTCCAGCATAACTAGGCTCGTAATTCCTGTGCGATCCTCTGCTGCGGTAAGATGCAGCACTACCCCGCGACACTCCTGACTCGTGTGACCCTGTCGTGCCAACTTCCCATATTTCTTGTTCGTAATCTGCCCATTTCTTCTTTGGAATCGATTTTTCGTCGAATTTCTCATTATCGGTAGTAATGATTTGTTTCTTGCCTCCCTCGCCTACTACGACGCGAGTGTTACCCCATGAAAAGTCATCAAAATGCCAGAATGCATAGACTGGAATGAAGAATGAGAATAACGGGAATGCCAGCAAATATATAAACATCCATCCAACGTGCTGCCATTGTCTCTTGAGTATAAAGATGATAGCCTGTAAACCGTAAACTGCAGCAATCATGACAAGTGAAATAATAGGCAATGCTTGTCTGTCCGTTGCGACTGACCATATGAGGTATATAATATAAACGACAGTCGATGGAAGAATCAGAGTACCGAACAGATCAATAAACACTATAAATCTCATTGAGAAACAACAGAAACCACACATTTCAGACAAGAACATCAGCTCCATTAAATTATGAACGGTAGAGTTGATCCATCTACGCCGCTGTGACAACAAGATGCTCCACTTGTCAGGTGCAGCCGTTTTACTCAATGCATCTGGTGTAAATGTCATCTTGTATTGTGGAAAGTGTTTCATCATGAGCGTAGTCAGGTATCGATCTTCACCCAAGGACAACAGATTCTTCTTGTGAAGCGTATCCACGTGATTCTCAGAGTATCCTTCAATTACGTGATTGGATATAATCAATGGAGTATTTTTGGTTGGAGTTCGGATACGATACATGCAGAAACATCCAGGCAGACAAGTGACCGACCCAAAGAGCGATTCAAACGCTTTTGCTAAATGGTGAGAGATATAATACTCGTATACTTGTATCATTGTTGTCCATGAACCTTCCTCGTTGATCAGAGTAGTCTCACCGCATATACCAATGATACGAGCATCGTGAAGCATACACGATATCATACGATTCAATGAATCGGGCATTACTTCAGTATCGGCATCAACCATTAAAATATACTCGTAGAAACTGGGATTGACTCCAATGACATTCTTCATCTGATGATAAATCTCCAATTCAAGCGGATACATCTCCAAGTCAAAGTGTACTTTGTTGAGGAATCGCATAAGAATGATTTGTGAATCACGTTTACCACGATTACCGGGTCTCGAAAGTTCTGAGGGCTTTCCCACTTTGACAACCACAATGTACGGAACGACGTGACCTTCATATTCATATAGACCGGAGTACACTTTACCGTAATTCAACTGAGCAGATCCCTCACCGACTGACTTGAACGACAGTGGTTCAGGATCCATTCTAGGATCGACCCCAAGGATATCAAGAACTATTGTGGGCGTAGGTCTGTCATTACCGGATCCGACAATCATACCATCACATATGAGAAAGATTAGTTTACGTTTATCATCATAGGTAAGCGCTGCTAGAGCATCCATCGTACGCCTTAACGAATCTTCTCCTTCCGTATAACAAGGTACTTGGCAAATGACAAATTTATCATGGTCCTCTGGCTTGCGTCTTGATCCTAATTGTAATGCAGCCAAGAATTTCACACCAATGACAGCGAATAGTATGCACGAGAAAGTCAACAACATGTAATTATTGAATTGACATCTGAATGATTTACGGAAATCGATTCCACCAATATAGAATATTTGCTGTAGACAGTTGAGATTGGCATCATAATCGTCTGCCGTAGCAAAAGCCTTGTTGAATCTGCTCGTTATATCTTCTCCGGAAAAACTTTTGAATAGAGTTTCGACAGAGTCGCTCAAATAATGATAATTAGGCGAATTACTTGGGGGTCGTTGAGGTTGTCCTGCCGAACCCTGAGAAGCAAAATACTGAGTCAAATCGTACACCCCCTCATTGATAATGGCCCATAGTCTGGGATTTTCACCTTTTCCCTGTTCGAGTACATCTTTTCGCGACCACACAAGCCGGGCCTTGTACATTGTCTTCATACGAGGAAGGAAATAA